TTTATTCATGTTGCTGATGACGCCAAAAAATTTAAAATCCCTCTTGAGGATCTTTCGGGTTTTTGGGGTGAAAATTTTATTGGAATTTTCAAAAATCTGGTCAAATCTCATAGTAAACCCCTAACACAGATCATTAATCGCTTGGATGAACAGCAGACTGGAAACAATATGAAAATACAAAAAAAATACGTGTTGAGTAACTGGGTTCTTTCTAAAAAATCAGAGGTATTCGAAAACTGGGTGACTGCAGATTCTGTGAAAATTCATGATGTTATTTTGAAAGCAACACGGCCAGACAATATTATTCAACTGACCAATGGAGAAATTTTTTCAATCGAGAAAATTTGGGTGAAAAAGCAGCTACCAAAGTTCTTCAATGACCTTCGGGAAATTAGTTTTGAAGGACGAAAGGGAAGCGACATAAGAGATGTTTTCAGTCACCCAACTCCCTCATCAGATATTGGTATTTTGCAGATGAGAGGTTTCCAGATCACGACTGTATCAATCACGGCTTCACAATACCGTTCAAAATGTTGTCTGTTACATGTCAACTCCAAAAAGTTTGTAATAAGATTGTTACATTCGGAATTTGTAAAATTTGAAGATGATTGAAGGGTCGATTGGAGCATTGAGGGTTGCTCAGTAATCAATGAAATTTGAGATTTAAATTAATTAAAAAAAGCTGAAGTCCGTCAACTAAAAATTATGGTTCATAAATAAATTCAAGAGAAATCAAACCTTCTTATTTCTATTAGTGGATATTATTATTACGCATTCATCTACGAACGTGCTTTATAACAATAGTAAAAAATCATAACTCTCTCAGTGATGCAAAACTCTTATTTTATTCAAATTCCATCAATTTCCCGCCCAGTCGCTATTGTACCTCCCTCCCAAAACGCCATACCCTCGCATCAATGGCGTTTTTACATTCCCATTTGAGTAACAGAGTCATGAGTCCCAGTCGTGTTCCACAGTCAAAAATATAGCTGCATTATATATAAAGTAGTAAAAAAGCCATCAATTTTCTTGCGAACATAGTTTCAAGGTGAATAATGTCTTGGCACTACGGATTTGTTCAACTCCAGGTTTTATTCAATGCCCTTGAATCTGCTTTTTTCCCGAGTGTGCCGGTACATGTGATCGTCGGATGTCTTCCATAGTGTTGCCTAAGTCCATCAATTTGAACGTATTACATTTATCAGACAAAAAGTACATCGAAATAATTATCGTATTATTATGAACTACTAAGTTTTAACCTCATTTTTAATGTCCAACTAAATCAGGCATTCATTTTTTAATTGAATGACGCCACGCGAAAACAGTCTCTCCTGTCGGCTAGTCACGTGAAATCTTCGGCGATTTTCACCGGGATCATCCGTGAAATTCTAATTACGTCGTATTAAAAATTGCTTGATAAGTGTTCGTGTGTGTTTATTGGTGTTTTCTCAGTGCTTAAGACTTTCATAGATAATTTTTTGAAATCAAAAGGATACCATCGTCAGATATATACTGGGGCTATTAGCCCTACCGTAATTGTTCAGCGGAAAGTGATTAAGAATAATCATTGTTAACCTTGTATTCGAAGAACCGAGTGAGACATACATTATTGCTCACCATGACAACTTTTGAAAATTCCCACAACGCCGCATTTATGATCGTCAAATTCAAGGAGTTACTCAACAATGGGCAGCAATCCATTGATCTCGTTCGATCACAATGGACGTATATGGATAGAAAACAATTGATGTGTAAATATCCTCCACCAAAATTTTATTCTCGTCTTGATTGCTGGCTTACAAATGAGAAAGACGCCGAGGAATGTTGGGAAGACTATCCAGTTGATTTGATTTCTACAGCCGGTGAGTAAATTGTACATCCCAATGTGTTTGTATCAATAATCGAAGTTAACCTTTAAATTATTTTATTTCTGCATGTAAAATCATCAATTTCTTTCTGGTACAATCAATTGATTTCATTTGTTCTTCTTTTTGGCCCAGAGTCTGTTACCCAAGGTAAACGTCGATTGATAAGAGCTTACAAAACTGATGATGTGAACAGCACTGATACTGAACGTTCACGATCTTTTCAGTTAGCATGTTCATTATCAAAGACCGAGGTCAGACGACAGCTTCATAAGATTCTCCAATGTCCGTTCATGTTCCGTTGAGCAAATTAGGAACGTCAATACGTGAGTAAACAAATTAGCTTCAAATGATTCCTTGGTTTTGTTTCAAGTGGAAAGGTTATCTTTTCCTTATTGAGTTTATTTTCATATTTTCCTTTATACGCTCACAATACATTTAAATCTGACCACGCAATATATCATTCTTCCTTTCCTAATTTCACAATAATGGCAGTAAATGATTCAAGAACAGTTCCGGACAATATTCAACGATCAGCTCCATCGAAAGCATCACGAAATCGTAAAAGATGTATTCCTAGCGATTCGAGTAGCGGTGCTGAGTCCTCTTCATCGATTGACAGTTCAAACTGTGGTAGGGACACCTCCAATCGCGCTACATCTCCCGATGAACCCCATGAACAGTCAACATCTAACAGATTCTATAA